ACACACACACACACACACACACACACACACACACACACACACACACACCACACACACGCCAGTTCCAAAGTTAGATGAGAAACTGTAGAAAGCCAAGGAAGGACCAAGATTGATGAGAGTCAGGATATGGACCTCACTTGGCCAGCTCCTTCCCTCAGTTGTGGGATATCGTGATCAAATTTGAGAACCACATGTCCAGAGGCCAAAGAAAGCCAGGTCGCTGTAACTAAAGGGAGTTATGGGGAATCTGGGGCAAGAGAGACAGGAGACCCAGTTGTGCCTACACCCCACCCTTCCCCTCTTGTGTCTCAGCATGATCGTGGTGCCTCTCAACTGGGAGCAAAACGAAAAGCGGTGTATATCCCCAACAGTAAAGTTCAAAATGGGATTTATATGCAGGGGAGCTGTCCGAGTGTGGAGCAAAATGGAAGAAACGTGATACACGCAGCAAAGAGGAAGGAATTGCCCGGTAAACCCTGGTCACTACTGAACGAATCCCGCGGGTGTGACACTCCGTCATACAACTGTCAGTCTCTTCCCTTGGAGATGGTTTTCTGTGGCGAGGCTCCAGAATACAAACCCTGAACCATTCTAGAAAGAAAATAAAAGGTGGAAAGTTGTGGGTATGGGGAGTGGAGGTCCAAGGAGAGGCCCGGAAGGGAAAGAACTGCAGGGAACATGGGGGCTATGGGGGGAGCATTCAGATGCTGCAGCCACAAGAGGGCGCTGCTGCCCCATCATCAGCCCTGACCAGCTAGAAAATGGAGGGGTTCAAGGATCTTAGCGTCTCCAGTTAGGTTTCACTCCCGCTACACACTACCCCAACTCCAAGACTTTCCCTTTCATCTTTTAGGGGTCCCTTCTGGTCAACCTGAAAATGGTCTCGGGACCACTGGACAGTTCCACTCCTGTATGAGGCTCTCCCTGGTCAGCAAGCCTGGAGCGGATAGGTCACGAAGTTCTGGGTGGGGAGCTTACAGAACCCCTTGGTTTGTCTCCCAACTGCTCCCCACATGTGAGTCCAGGTATTGAAGGGTGGTTGGGATTGGCTCCAGCAGAGAGCCATCACAAGTGGCTCTGGAGTCCCAATTCACTTCTAAGTCTCGAGTGTGTGTGTGTGTGTGTGTGTGTGTGTGTGTGTACATCATGGCTCTTCTCAAGCAGCAAACTGAGGGCATATTGAAATGATAAGCTACAATGTCAGGGTCCACTTACATTGAAACCAGGATAGACAGACCCCCCGCAGCTCGCAGAGGATCAGATGTTGAGCCCTGGCATTTGTAAGCTTCTAGGCCCTTTCCCCACAAGCGAATGGGGGTCCCTGTCAGAGGCCCGGCACCTGTTGTCTAGCATCAATGCCTGTTCACCCGCATGCAGACACCCTGACGAATTCTGGACTCTCCTTGACTTCTCCCTTTTCAGGTCTGTTGCTCAGATACCAAAATTTCTGACTACAGCCACCCTGATACGGCTTTTTTCCAGATTAGGGTTTCATAGGTGTTAGTCACAGTTCAGGCTGCCGCTAGGTCCTGTGAAGATTCTAAACTCTGTCTCTCCCAAGTCCTAACCACCTCTGAGGACGGAGTTGCCACAAATGAAGATTCTCCCAATCTGCTCCCACTCTATAAAGATTAAAAACCAGGCGGGCACAGAGCCAGCTGTGCTGGGATCTTATAATGGCTCCAGGTTTGGAGGCCTCGCCTGCAAGGGTGCTGTGTCATGCAAGATTAACTCAGATACAACAGTTCTTACAGATAATCATAAGGTCTGGACCCAGGAGACAAGGAGGGATCCCAGCAGAGTCTGAGAATGAACCGGACCTTTTGGTTGTCCAAAAGGGTCCGTTAAGGAAAATCTCCTTCTGGTCGCGAAAACAAGTCTCTGGGTTGGATGGAGACCTACCATTTCTTCTGGGCCTCATCAATCACCTGGCCAAGGGGTTGTTCCTCAGAAGGCAGGCTCGCTAAAGAGTTAAGGAGAACAATGTTTCCTTTAGTGGCTTCCTGTCCTTTTCCTTTCCCTAATCCGAGACTTCCCAGTACAGCCCTCAGGAGCCACGGTGAGGTTTGGTGGAGTCTGCCAACCCTCCTGAGGCAGAAGACAGGAAAGGCACAACTTTCCCTTCTCCTTTTTCCTGTCTCTTTCTCTCTGATGCTTGCCAGAACCCAAGTACACTTTGGATGGGCCTTCGGGCTTCCCTACTCTGTCTCTAAAGCCCACCCCTCCCCCTCCACAGTGTAGCCTCTTGTTCACCGTGTACCTGACCCCCATGCCTGCTTCAAGGACATGGATCCTGCCCCACTCATGACCCTTTCTCTCTCCTCCATCCTCCTCCAGGCAGCTGCTGAGATTTACAGCCCTGGGGTATCTTACTTTAAAGCCTAAGAGAATTGTCCTTGAACTTCCATTTGACTCCAGTCTTGAATTCTTTTCTTAAGAAGATGAAGATAGAAGGGCCCCTTATTTCCCCTGTATTACATCTCCATGAGGAGTCCCCAGCAAACCAAGGGACAGCTTCAGCATCCAGTGGTCCCAGCTTCAATTGAGCAAATCCATGGGATAAACCCATGATCAGATAGATGGTGAACTGGGGCCTTTCTGTAGATGCCCTTGGGGATGGGAATGAGGAGAAAATTCTGGAAGCCAGGCTGCCTCTGACACACCCAGTCTTCACTTGGAATTGAGTAAAGAAGAGGAGGAATGCTTCCGGAAGCCTGAGAGTGCCGGAGCTTCTGAATCCATGTCTGGAGAACGTGGTTTAATATCAGCTTGGAGCAGCACGAATACCCTTGCCTCGGGTGTAACTGAGACACAGCTGTTGCTGACTGAACACATGAACGCCAATTCCAGCCTCTCCTCCCTCCAGGAGCTTGCTAAGGCTGCACACCCATTTCCTACGAGGTCAGGTCTGACTCTGGAATTGTGCTGGTGGCTTCAGCTGGAAGGGCTAGGGTGAATTAAAGCAAAGACAGAAGGGCATCCAGGGGAAATGGTCCATACAGGTCCTCCATGGCCCTGGGCACTAATGAGAGGTGAAGGGAGTCATTAGGATAAGCCAGTCTTGTGCCCTTGATGCAAGCACAAAGAGCTGGCTCTGGGACCAGCTCTGCTACCCCATCAGACGGCACAGAAAAGGGACTGTCACTTCAGAACACCTGTTCCCAATCTTGAACGTGTCAGTTCCATGGAAAGTCAAGGACTAGAAGGATCCTAATGGATCCAGTTGAGCCAGAACCCAACATTCTGCACCTGGAATTAAAAGGCACAGCAACCTCCAGAGAAGGTCTGGTCTGCAGCTCCTTGAAACACAGCATTGACTGCTTTCTCTGACAGCAGAATTTTCCAAAAAGAGACAAAGAAATAAGCAAATCTGATCAGCATGTGATATATGTTGGGGACCACAAGATAGCACAGAGGGTAAAGGTACCTGCTACCAAACCCAAGGGCTTTAATTAAATTTAAGTCAGTTTCAGAACTGTAGTAAGTGGGTTGTCAGGGCAACATCAGGGAAGAGGAACCGGCCCCCATCCATCCATGCAGCCTGAGTC